TGATTTCCCGTTCACTCTCTTGCACTGCTGTTTATTAATGTTGATGTTACTATTTAAATATGTCGGTGGCAGTATGTGCACAGGAGGTTGGAAGGATTCTCAGACAAGATCAACTGGATGAGGCAAGTTCTTAAAAAAAGACAGATAGAGGGAAAGACAAATAGAGACGTATAAAATAAAGCTGCCAGCACAAGAAAAGCACAGCGTCTGAATAGAGGTGGCTTAAGGACCGTGCATAAACCTTGAAAATAAACGTTGATTGTCCAATTTCTAGGAAGGCTCTGCTGTTGCCAGGAGTTACAAAACTGATAGTTCTACAGTTCAGCAATTAGGGGGCAGATTGTCTCTGATGTTTGCTTGGATAGTTGGTGAGCAGATCAAGGAGCAAGCAACAATCAGATCCTCCTTTCCACAGTTGCTCAGAAAGTCTGTATGCTTGCCGTCAATCCGAGAAGTTTGAAAAGGGTTTCTTCACAATACCTTCCCAGGTGCTTTTTGAAGCTGTGTAGCTCAGCCTTACCAATTCTGTTCAGAATGGCTATGGACAGAAGTTACACATAAACTGGTTTAAGTGATTAGAAACTGGTTTAAACCTGTAACAGAACAGAGGTTCAGTACACATAAACCAGTTCAAAATGGCTGAAACTGGTTTAAGATAAACCTGGCTGAATCTCAGGTAGTATCAGACTTAACTGATTTGGGTGAAACTGGTTTATGAAACTTCTGTCCCAGACCCCTTCCTGGTTCAAGTTAAATCATAGTCCTCCAGCATGCTTTCTAGCCCTGAGCTGGGCTGTCTGCTTCAACAGAGAAGGGGTGGGGTAGAGGGCAGGGTATGGGACCAGGGAGGGGGGTTAAACTTACTACTGACTGTCACTGTGAATTACAAATCCCAGAGGTAACTGGAAGCAGGAAGAGGAAGTGATGAGCAACCCTACATAGTTCTGCAGCTGTGTTTCTGGACTTCAAATCCCAGAGACCCTGGGGGCAACAGGAAGAGAAAGCAAACACACGGCCCATGCTGGCTATGCACCAGAGAGCTGTGCTGTAGTGGCCCTCAGTTTGTGGTCTAAGCCACTGCAAGTATGTAGCTACATTTCCTGAACTAAAAGTGAATGTCTGTCCAGTTGTTTCTCAGTTTAATTTTTGCAGCTTAGACTAATCTGCAAAGACTGAATCAATTCAGCCTCGGGCTTTTTTACTGTCTGTACTTAGCCAATAGGTCCAAAATCACATGGTTGAGATCATCAACTGAATCCCAACTGCTCAGAGGCTATTTGTGTTACTCTTCTATTACCCTGCTCAAAAAATAAAGAGTCATCAGTGGCAGCAGTTCCTCAATATTGCAAGATTTCTATAGAGAGTGAACACTGGACACTTAAATAAAAAAGGTTTGGAAGCCAAATATTTGGAACTGCACTAGCAATTCACTCCTTTAAGCAACTGATTGTCCTTGGGGCTACAAAATGACACCTTTGCTCAGAATTAGAAACAGATCAGTGTTAAATGGCTGGGCTAAAGAAAATGTAGGGAACCATTAATATTATACATGGAGCAGACAGATCAGTGCTGGAAAGCAGTTTGCCCATTAGATGTCTTTTTGTTTTACATCTTTAGATTGTTAAGAGAGATGGGATCTCATGGTTGGAGCAAAAGTAGGAAATCTTGATTCTAATCCTGATGGTGAGCCTGATTCTTCTTCTGCCAGATGCAAGACATGCATGCCATGTCTCTACTGCCTCTCTGCCAAGCCTATGACTGATGCCAGGAAACAAGTTTCACTCACTTGTACTATGTGCATGGCCAAATTCAGCAGTTAGACTTTAGACAAAGCTTAGTGGGATCCTGAGCACGCATCCCAGAAGGTCAGGACCCCTTCCCTAATGGCTGGGCTTGAATAGGCAAGGAGCAGGAGTACTCACTTAGGCTTGGCAAGAATTTCATAGATTCCATAGACATTAGGGCTGGAAGGGACCTCACAAGATGCAATATAGACATGGCCTCAGTCTGTCTGTGCCTCAGTTTCCCCTTCTAATTTATCTTTTTATAATAGGAATTATAATTATCATCTACCTCTTTTGGTGCTGGGAGAATTAACTATGGTGATGAATTCTTTACACGAGTTTTGCCAGCGGGGATTTGATGCAAAATACTTAATATCTGTGCTGTGTTTTTACAGGTTCTTTCTGGGAGGCCCAATAGATGTAAGGACTATGTGCTTTAAGAGCAGCATGGTTATTCTAATTCCATTCCTACATGGAAGACAGGAATCATGTGAAAGGAATTTTGAATGGACTAGATTGCAATCTGCAGATGCTGGCCGCTGTTACTGGAGCTCAGTGAGAAATGGCTGCACACTACCAGAAGTCCAAAGACAGTTTATCCACCGCAGCAGTGCATCTGGTGCTAGCAGCAGTTCTAACAACCTTGTTTGATGTACTTACTTGTTATAGCCCACTTTCACTGGCTGCTACAGGATCCTGAGCAACAACAAACTTCCACTTCACAGAAATACTAGCTTTACCACTGGTCCAGGACCCCCCAACTTTCTCTGGAGGACTGCAGGTCCGAGGGCGTGCTTCTTGCATTCTGTCCCCTTTTAGCTATTATATGTCACGTTCGAATAGAAACATGTCTGGAAATATTTGTAAACACTTTTACTTTGCTATGTGCAGGTTGTGGTGAGTACTGTATTGGTGATATACAGCTTCCCTACCCTGCTCTGAGTTCATCATAACCTTTTTATTTACCAGCTTTCACCTTGAAAGGAGCATGAAGAATTGTGCGTCATAAAAATGCACAGCAAGATAATTAATGGAATTTGCCAGATAATGTAAATTAGTCTCCACAAAATATTTGGATTGTCTAATACAAATCATAAGTCAAACTATGAATAAGCCAGTATATTCAAAAGGCATGATTGCATCTTGTAAGTGCACAGGTTCAAATTCTGAAGTCCTTATTTCATATGGCACTGTCCTAACTCAAGCTAAACCTGTGTTGCAGTGCCACCTGATCTGTACATGACCTATGTAATACTATTGAAAAAATACTATGTAATGCTGTAATGCCAGCTTGCAATATCTCCCTCTGCTATGTGCCCATATAATAAATCCAGTCTGCACTGCTTTTATTTCAATAGAAAATCTAGTATTGGCAAGGATTTGAGATGATTATTACCTTGGTGAGGACACATCTGGAGTAGTGTGTCCAGTTTTGGGCCTCCCACTACAAAAAGGATGTGGACAAATCAGAGAGAGTCTAGTAGAGGACAATAAAAATGGTTCAGGGGCTGGGGCACATGACTTCTGAGAAGAGTCTGAGGCAACTGGGTTTATTTAGTTGGCAGAAGAGAAGACTGAGGTGGGACTTAATAGCAGCTTTCAACTACTTGAAGTGGGGTTCAAAAGAGCTATACTGTTTTCAGTGGTGACAGATGACAGAACAAGGAGAAATGGTCTCAAGGTGAGGCAAGGGAAATTTAGGTTAGATATTGAGAAAAACTTTCTCACTGGTAGGGTAGTGAAGCACTGGAACAGGTTACACAGAGAGGTGGTGGAAGCTCCATCCTTGGAGGTTTTTAAGACCCGGCTAGACAAAGGTTTGGCTGGGATGATCTAGTTGTGGATGGTCCTGCTTTGAAGAGAAGGTTGGACTAGATGACCTCCCGAGGTCCCTTTCAACCTTAGTTTTCTATGATTCTATGATTATTCACAATTTTAATGTCTGAATTATAAATCTTTGTTCCATTCTTATATTTTCACACAATGCCCATTTTATTACAACTCCAAGAAATAATGTAGGCTATTTGTTCATATGAGATCCCATTTAGTACTGAAGTCTCTTTTGCACTGCAGTATTACATCATAGACTACATTTATATTTTGTATTTACATTGCCTGCATTATTCTTCTTTTAAGTCAACAAGATGTACATAGAAGACAGAATAGTAGGGGAAAAGATTGGAGATGGGAATCCAAACCAAAGTATTCTTTTAAAGCCATTTCAGCAGTTTTATTTCATGGGTTGGATAATGAGAATCATTTTACTTTCTTGGAGTACCACCAGGAAATACAGGGATGTTTCATGGAGAGAAAAAAAAATGAAATATAGAGAAGTCGGATAAAACTTCTTTCTGTTTGCTTGTTAAGTGAGCTATTTCTCAGAGAAATTAGAACTTGACCCCAATATCCAGTGAAGTTAATGGAAAGATACCACAGACTTCAGTCAGACCTTTGACATACAATATATTCCTCATATATTATAAGCCTACTTGGGGTGCATAACAGCAAATGGAAAGAAATTTAAAATGCATAATCTTAAGGATATAAATAAAGAACTAAAATAGAAAAGCATGGGAATACAAAGAAAACTGTAATATAAATACAGATAGAAAGACAGACAAAAAAGAAGTATTTGAATGAGTTCTTTCAAGAACCCATAAAGCTTTTTTTGTATGTATTTGACCCTGTGACGATAATAAACATTGTAAGACATTATGGATTTCCTTTATTCTTTAGTCCTGTACATTTCCCCATTGTAAGCATGTCTGATACTTGACTGATTTAGATGCTCAGAAGGTGATTATGCCATTGGGCAGATTAGAAATCTTTCTGTTAATGGACGGCAGGGGGTGGGGGGAATCAATTTTTGTAGCGTAAATATTGCTATCGATAATATTAAGAATAGATGCTCTCATGCTCTTACATATGGCTTAACTCCAAGGACATATGTGAGACTTTGCTGGGCTGTTAATTGTTGGGAAACCCCAAAGTTAACTTGCATTTTGACTCAAATATAAATGTACAGTCCTACCGCATATGTTCATGAAAAAGCATATAAATGAATCGTGTTGCTACCATTTATGACATCCTCAACTTCTGCAAATCACTAACTCTAATTTCAGTATCAAATCAGTAGTCAATCACTACCAACAGCAGTTAAATGATTTTCCACATCTAAAATCACTTTTAGAAACACAACCCTAAAAAGTTACTTACAGGCTCTTCTGTAAAGTACGTGGAGATTCGTCAGTTTTCCATGTCTCTTGGTGCTGGTTAGAAACAGGGAATGGAGCTAATAAAAAAGTTTCACATGAGTCATTTATTTCCCTTGTCCCTCCCCGGCTGAGTCAGGCATACCACATTTTGAAATTATTCTGGTTTTGACAAAGATAAATGAGGATGTAACTAATGCACAAGACCAAAATAGTGCTTAATTTGCCAGTGCCATTTTTAACCTTTCTCCTGTCAGAATAATAGAGATCAGCAAATGAGTTTTAGGGCCAGAGTTTGATGTCTTTAAGTGGTATGGTGTCTTTGGTCCAGACATTCAAAAGTATTTAGATGCGTAATTCCACTGAAATCAATGACTCTTAGAAAAATGTGTCCTTTATTCCAGAGGATGCTCCCATTCTGTCCAAGTTCTTGTAGAATAAGTTGCTGCTCACTGCAAATATGAATATTGGAACTTGACTATTCAAAATATGTAAGATATTTTGTTAATAACAGACACTCTAAAACAAAACTTAGATTATGTAAAATGTAAAATTGGATAGTCCTTAAAAGTAACAAGGGTTTTGTATAAACACTCAATACCAGACCCATGCCATGAGATGGTAACAGTCATAATGGAGGCTGGCGCAAGAGTAGATGAGGATGGTGAAAGCACTATCAAGAAGAACAACCAGTTGCTACACTGGTCGCTGCAACCCACTAGGCATGGAGTTGGATAGGACTCAACTCTCTACTGTACCCGAGCCTAAAAATAAGAGTGGTGGCTCCTCAAGGAGAGCCATCAGGGAGGGGATTGTTGGCAAAGACCTGACACAATCATCACATGTGTAGGTTGGAGACAGAGCTAAGGGAGCAGGGAGGGTCCCAGACTGCTTAGGCTGGTGTGACCAAAGAAAGCTGAGGACTACATACACATTTCAAAGCAGAACCTGTAATCTGTAAGAGGTGAGAGACTGGAATACACTGAATGTATGATAGGTGTTCTGTACAAGAGCGGCATGAGAGGCATGCTATACATGACTATGGTCAGAGCACCCAAGGAAGAGAGGGAGGTGCAGATTTGCCTATAAAAATCCAGGCAGAGATGAGGTCTGTGAAACCTAAGAATACCTGTGGTTTCCCCAGAAGGACTACCTGAATCCCTGGCTTTAAGGAGACCCTTTGCCCTTGGGACTGCATAAGACTCATGCAGAATCTTTCTGTTATCTTTTTAGCTTATTATATTGCATTTTAAATTAGGCTAAGTTGTGTGTGTTGTCACTGTGTCTTACTGGGCTGTGTTTTAGCTTAGGTGAAGTTTTCTGATGTTCTTTGTCATATGCTTGAAGCTGAGAATTGTTGTGCTCAATAAATGCTCTCTTCAGAGAATGGACTATTCTTGTTCAAGCATTTATGAATTAAGTGCCACTACCTAAAGTCTAATATTAAATCTGGTAACAGATTTTAATATTATCTAATAAAAGATACAAAAATGTTATATAATTCTAAAATTATCTAATAAAAGATATCACTTCCAAAGAACCTTGTCTGCCTATGTCCTTAGACCAACACGGCTACAACCAACAACCTAATGGCTTTTGTATGCAGTTTTCAGTTGCATTTATATAAACATTGCTTTAATGAAATGAGAGAGAGAATAATACCAAAACTGAGGGAGTGCTTCACATGTTCAAGGTTATCTATACATATTACCTGAAGCTCATGATGCCTCTGAACTAATTAAGTGTCTGAGCAGGTGCCTTTCACAGCTTGCTGTAAACACAACATCTCAGATCCTATTATTAATATTCATTGTTTGTATTATGGCAACATCTAAGGGCCTTATTCATGAATCAGGGGTTATATGAGCTAACTACTGCACAGATATACAGCACAGAGGGTCCTCTATAAGTCTGTCAAAAACAAAAGGTGGTTACAGCAAACAGATGAGGAGAGCACAAGTTCTAATCAGCAGGCTAGACAGTGATAGCAGCACACCAGATGCCTGGTTACAGCCAAGTTTCTTGTAGATGTCAGGACAAGGTAAGGAGGGACTTAAAGCAGGACACTGCAGTAGTTTTGGAGATGTTAATAGTGACATTTTGCTGTCTTGAGATACCAGCATAAGAAAGAATATGCAGGGAGTAACTAAAAAGTAACCAGATAGGGGATGAAGCCAGAGCAGTGTTGAGCATCAATATCTCAGCAATGTAGAAGAAATAAATTATGGTAAAGAAGGATCCTGGACTCTGTCAGTACCGCACGAAAGCAAAAAGGCTTTAACTAACCTTTATACAGACCTAGAGTCAGTTGGGGATAAAAATCAATTTCTGGTGTTGCTTAGGGCTGAATGGTTGTTTCTGGCCCCAAGAGACCATACTGGAAGGCCGGCCTTGCCAATCTATCAGGATGCTTCCCCTTCCTCTTAGGCATGTCATTATATCAGGTCATAATCTCTGAATAATTGCCATACAAAGGGAATTCACTGGGTGAGAAAAACATTGGCTTTTAACTTTTTTGCATCCTCAGATCAGCGCAAAACTGAGTCGAGTCCAGAATCTGGCCTGCAGCTCATGCACAGGGTAAAAATGAATCTGGCAGTCTGTCTGATAAAAAATTGGTGTGGGTTTTAATCTTTATGGATTACCTAATGTCTGGTGATAAAATCACATGTAATGGAGTGAGCAAAAACGATGTACTGCTATCTTGGTTGGCTTTATATTTTTGGAATTCCTATCTTGCTGTGGCTTTAAATGCAGGACTCAAAAGCTTTGGATGGGTGTCCTTGACATGGAGTTTCTTTTAGACTGAAATATATTAATTCACTTCTTTATTAATCAACAGTACAATATTGGTTATTCAAATATTCTCAATTGCTCACAGGTTTACTCCTTCAGGACTGCTCTGCTTACCCTCTATGTCCTCTCAGAAAAATCACTCCTGTTTTCTTTTTATCAAGGCAATCTTTTAAGTCATCTGCCTCAGTGAGCCAGGAGAATCAATTTAGTCTCTTTTAGTCAGGAACAGTATCAGCTAAGAGAGCACAGTATTTCAGGCAAACATACCCAGACCATAGGCTGATCCAGTATTAACTAAATGGGAGGTGCAGAACACCACCTCTCAGCCCATAGGGGGTTAGAAGCAAGGTGAGGTTAGAGCCCCCAGGTTGACAGGGCACATTAGGGAATGGGGCAGGGAGCAGGCACATGAAAGGGGAAGGAACCCCAACCCCCCCCATACTGTTGCCTGACTGGATGACCTTGTGGGGTGGGGAGGAGGGAAGACCCAAAGCCACTCCTTCTCTGCTCACCAGGGAGCAGGCGCTGAAAAGAGGAACCTGCACATCACTGCTACTGCTCCTGTCCCCTGCTAAGCCTGGCAGCCTGCACAGCTGCATCTCATGACTGGAGGGAGGCAGGAGTGACTCTGCTGCATGCACCCAGATCAACTGCCTCCTTGAATCCACCCCAGACCCAGACTCATACAAGAAATTACCATTCTTCTTTTGTACAGATGAATGGAGAGCAAGTAAAAAATCTGCTTCTGCCAGCCTGACTAATATTG